AACATTATGAGAGGATCCGAAGACTGGTGCTCCAGTGGAACCAGAGTATTTTGAAGAGGTGACCTTGTACTTCAGTGACATTGTGGGCTTCACCACCATCTCAGCCATGAGTGAGCCCATTGAGGTGGTCGACCTTCTGAATGACCTGTACACCCTCTTCGATGCCATCATCGGCTCCCATGATGTCTATAAGGTACAGACCTGTCGGCTCTGTCAGCCACCTTTACTGTGGGCAGGAGGCAGAGAAAGGGTGGGGCTTGGAGGATCCAAGGGATGTGAAGGAAAAAAGACGACACGGGTGCTTAGGGTTGCCAAGCGAAACTCATATTGGCTGGGAAGTGGCCTGGCCTTGAGTTAGTTGGAGGGGAGGTTGATTCTAGGGCTCCTGAACGGCTTCCTAGTGATAATCAGGAGGGGAATGTTCTTCAAGGTCCATTTCCTAGGTCTCCCTGGCCCTCTGGCAACTGGGGGAGCCTCTTTCCTCATGGACTCAACCCCTACTAGGGTTCTGTCCTGGGCATGGGACAGGATCTTAGCCTGAGTGGAGAATGTGCTATAGATATGTCCAGGGATAAACAGGTCACATATTGCTAGTAAAAATTTAGGATCCAGGAGGTGAAGTCAGGTCAATCAAAGGTCAGTCAATTCAGATGATAGAAGCAGGTCTGATAAAACAGAGGTCAACATCCTTAAAGGCTAAGTAGCAAGGTGGCTAGCACCCTGGAGAGCTCCAGGTGACACACATGCTGGCTGTCAGACAAGGCAGGCTTGTGGACATTCATTCCAGGGAATCCCGACTGAGCCTTAACTAGGACTGCAACTTCCTCTGGGCAGCTAGGTGGGTGGAGCCTCTCCTCTTAAAGGAGCCCAGACTGCTTCTGAAGCTGCTGCCTCCAGCAGCATGGTGGCGCTCTGGGTTCTGCTGCGGCCTCTGAGCTGGAACCCAGTGTGGGAAGGCAATGTAACCTCTTCAGGCCGGAGAGGTGCTGCCATCAGGAACTCTATTGAGGAGAGGAGAATGGCAAAGCCTGGTTCTCAGAGCAGGCCCTGTTCCTGGCTCAAGGTGTCCCCTGAATCCATGGCCTCTTCCCTTGAGAATGGGCTCCATCTCCACCTGGCTTCTTCCAACAGGTGGAGACCATTGGCGATGCCTACATGGTTGCTTCCGGGCTGCCCAAGCGCAACGGCAACCGGCACGCAGGTGAGATCGCCAACATGTCGCTGGATATCCTCAGCGCTGTCGGCACCTTCAAGATGCGTCACATGCCAGAAGTGCCAGTACGGATCCGCATCGGCCTGCACTCAGGTAGGCTGTCACAAAGGCAGGGCTGCTGGAATGGCCTCCAGCCACAGGGACCCACCTGTACTTCGTGGCCCTATCCACTCTTACTTGGCTCTTCTGAAGAGAGCTCAACTGGGCAGGAGGGGAGAGGTGATGGGGAGAGCTGTTAAGGTTGAAGAAACCGCTGAGCTCAAGGCTGATCTGTTTCCCATGGCAGGGCCTTGCGTGGCTGGTGTGGTGGGGCTGACGATGCCACGGTACTGTCTTTTTGGAGACACAGTCAACACCGCCTCACGGATGGAGTCCACAGGACTGCGTGAGTAGCCCATGGCCCAGATTGGGGGGCTGCAGGGGAGGGGTTTCTGCTGGGGATGGAGTCTGCCCAATTTGGATGAGCTTGGCCTACCATCTTGGGATGCCACTAATAATAATATTATACTTCTTACACCCTTCCCATCTGACTGGGTTGTCCCAGCCACTCTGGGTGGCTTCCAACAAACATACAAATAAAAGGCAATAATAAAAAAAAGCCATCAAACTTTATGGCGATAGATTAGGGAACAAATGGAAATTTGTGCTGTTATGTCTCTCGGAAGCACCCCCATCTCACCCCCCCACCTGTTGTCTCCGCAGCTTATCGAATCCACGTCAACATCCGCACTGTTCAGATCCTACATGACCTCAAGGAGGGCTACAAGCTGGATCTCCGAGGCAAGACGGAGCTCAAGGTACCTGGGACAAGGGAGGGGCTGTCAGCATCACCGTTGAGCCAGTGCCACCGACTGGACTCATCCACTTCAGCCCTGACTGGGTTAGGCGAGCTGGGTAGCACTTCCAGAGACCACCTTCTGCACAGGAACAGGTCAAAGTGCTGTGGACTCAAAGCTTAGAGTTGTGAGCACCGGATTCACTCCAACAAGAAGACAGCCGTCGCACAGCAGAGTACAGCAGAGTATAGCAGAGCATAAACGACTCGGAGAGCAGCTCTGTAGAATATCTTCTTTTATTCTATCTACAACTATAATACACAACTATGTACAGAGCTAAATGAGGTCTAGGCGAAAATGCTGAACTGCACTGAGTGTCTGCAGCTGCTCTTAGCAGCAACCTTATCTATACACACGATCTCTCTCTAACACTCAGTCTCTCTTCTCTCTCTTTGATGTGAGGCTGGAGCGGAATAAGTAGAGAGCAGAAACCGCCCCTCCTCTCTGGAGAACCAGCAGAGAACATCAGCAGATTCTTGAATATGGGAGGGGTGAAATCTCCTCAGGGGCGTCTTCTGACTGCAAGGACCCTCCAATTCCTATCTCCGGTCAAAGCTCCACCCAGAGGATGCAGAACAGACCCGAATCCCTAGGATGGGGGAGGGGGGCGCCCTCTGGCAAGCAAAAGATATGCCCCCTTCATTTGCATGTGCGTCCATGGGTGATGGTTTCTCTGGCAGGGTAGCAAACAGAGCAGCCCCAGTGTGGGCAGCACACCTGTGTGTGCTTTAGAACTGCTAGATCAGCAGTTCCCAAACTGTTTGGGGCCACTGCCTCCCCCACCCCGTTGCATAAACCCAACCCCAGTGCCGCCTACCCTACCCTATAAAAAGCATTGTTCAGAATACCAGTTTGCACGACCCACTAAGGAAGATAGTAACACAATGGAATTCAAAACCGTCACCATTGATTGCACATTTATTCAAAATTGATTTACAACTAAGTAGTGTATTTAATTTGGCAAAATGGATTGCCTTGTTCCAGTGACAATCAGCTTTTCAGGAGGATAGTCCTTTACACCTGCAGTGGCTCCCCTGCTCTATGAAATTAGTTAGCCCACCTAGCACTTAATAGAATTTATAGAATTTAGCACTGAATATAATGTATGTGCTTTTGTAACCCCTGCATTTACCCTCTGTAATGGAACTTGTGTATCAATGCTCTAATGACTTTTGTGCTATCTGGACTTCTCAGCCCTGACCCACCCTGTATATCTGAGTGCTCCTTGCATAGTGTAGCAACAGAATGTTTATGTGACAGGCTGTTCTTGCCTTCAGTCTTCCCAGGGGGGAAGCTATAGGAACGGTATGTTAAGGACTTTTTGGATGTCTGCTTGTCAAGAAGACAGACAGTAAGTGTGTGAAATGAACGGTCTAAGGCATCAAGAGACCGGGGCACCCAAGGTAATGGGTGAAAGAGGATAATGAAGAGAAGCAAGACAGCTTTAGCTCCCTGACCTTTCACGTATGCATTATATGAGCTAAAGCCAGTATGTTTCTGAAAACCCTATGCAAGCTGTGTTAAAATGTGCCTCAGACACAGTTCTCCTGACTGGTGGTCCTCTGAACTCCTGGTTTGGAAATGCTGCCGCTTATCTCTTAATAAACTGGGACGCTAAGCTTGTATATCTCTCTTGGCTGCATTTCTCTTGAAGGTGTTATTCCCTCAGCTGGGCATGAACCATTAAGAGGTGGTTTAGAAGTAAATTCTTAGCCCACTGCTGCCCACTTGCCTCTTAGCCCACCCCCAGGTAATCCCACTGCCCCCTCCCCAAAGGGGAGGTAGCACCTGCCTTGGGAACTGCTGTGTTGGCAAAGCGCTTCTGGTGTCACCTGTTGCAAGGATATTTGGGGGGGGGGCTGCTCCTCTTGGTGCTTCACTCGAAACATGTCCTCGCACCTGCATCAGTCTCTTTCTTTTTCTCCGCAGGGAAAAGGCACTGAAGAGACATTTTGGCTCACAGGCCGGGCGGGCTTCAACAAACCTATCCCCACCCCCCCTGACCTACAGCCAGGGTGAGTTCAGAGGACAAGGAACAGAACATCCGGCTTTGGGACAGAATAGGGTGGGCTCTGGGCTCTTGGGGGACACGGCCCCCTTCTCCACACGAACCCCCTGTTTCTCCTCTCCTCTTCCAGGGCCAGCAACCACGGGATAAGCATGCACGAGATCCCAGAAGACCGAAGGAAGAAGCTAGAGAAAGCACGCGGAGGGAATGCGTAGCCAGAGATGGAGGTGAGGCTGCGACAGATGGCGGAGTGAAACGTGCCCTTGGACTTGTACGCCCAGCCTCTGCCTCCAAGAGACTTTGAGCTCCTCTCCCATCCTTGCAAAATGGGATCCTCCCTGGCTCCTCCTGTTACTTCAGGGGTGTAGAGAAAGGATAATAATAATAATAATTTATTATTTATACCCCACCCATCTGGCTGGGTTTCCCCAGCCACTCTGGGTGGCTTCCAACAGAACACTAAAATACAAGAACCTATTAAACATTAAAAGCTTCCCTAAACAGGGCTGCCTTTAGATGTCTTCTAAAAGTTTGGTAGTTATTTTTCTCTTTGACATCTGGTGGGAGGGAGTTCCACAGGGTGGGTGCCACTACCGAGAAGGCCCTCTGCCTGGTTCCCTGTAACTTGGCTTCTCACAGGGAGGGAACCGTCAGAAGGCCCTCGGCGTTGGACCTCAGTGTCCAGGCAAAACAATGGGGGTGGAGACGCTCCTTCAGGTATACTGGGCCTTTGAGGCCGTTTAGGGCTTTAAAGGTCAGCACCAACACTTTGAATTGTGCTCAGAAACGTACTGGGAGCCAGTGTAGGTCTTTCAAGACGGGTGTTATATGGTCTCGGATTCTTGTGTCTTCTCTCTTCCCTTCTAATGCCCGGAAGGTGGTGGGCTGTCTTTCGTTGGAGGTTTTTAAACAGAGGTTGGACAGCCTTCTACCAGGGATTCTTTAGCTGTGATTCCTGCATTGCTCGGCCTTGGGCTAGATCAGGGGTCTGCAACCCGCGGCTCCGGAGCCGCATGTGGCTCTTTTACACCTTTGCCGCGGCTCCAGGGCGGATACTAGCGAGGGGAGGAGGCGCATTGTGCGCCCCGACACTCCCCACTGTGGCGGGCACTGTACTGGCTGTGACGTCGCATGGGGGTGGTGCGTGCGTTAGTCACGCACCGTCCCGACGTCACCTTCCCGCCCGCTGTCAGATCAGAGGGCAGCGGCGCGCATGCTTTAAATGTCGCAATGGTTTTGTGGCTCCCAGTTTTTTCCCCCTTCGGAAACGGGTCCAAGTGGCTCTTTTTGTCTTAAAGGTTGCAGACCCCTGGGCTAGATGGCCCTGGGATCACAGTCCTATGATCCTGTGATTCCATATGCTGCAGCACAGGATAGTGTATCGTAGGACTTCCTACGGCCTACTTATTTCTCTCTCTGGCCATAGAGATATGGCCTAGAGCATCCCATAGTGGAGTGGATTGCTCCGGGGCATTTCACACTTTTGATCAGCTGGATACCATATTTTTCGCTCTATAAGACACACCCGACCATAAGACGCACCTAGTTTTAGAGAACAAGAAAAAAAAATTCTCTCCCTCTCTACGCAGCGCCTCTCCAGCAAAGCGAAGTCAGAACAGCAAGAGGGATCGCTGCGCAGTGAAAGCAGCAATCCCTCTTGCTGTTCTGGCTTCTGGGATAGCTGCGCAGCCTGCATTCGCTCCATAAGACGCACACACATTTCCCCTTACTTTTTAGGAGGGAAAAATGCGTCTTATAGAACGAAAAATACGGTAGCTTGGTTGGTTAGAGCGTGTTGCTGACAATGCCCAGGTTGTGGGTTTGATCCCCGTAAGGGACAGCTGCATATTCCTGCACTGCAAGGGATTAGACTAGATGCTCCTCTATGCTTCTGTGGTCTTGCCTAACTTTGTTTCTCCTGTTTATGCAGCTCAAACAGCAACAGAGACCTGTGGCCTGCACCTGCCGCCGCTTTCTAACCAACTCTGATGAGGCCTTTCACGCAGCCTGCGAGGCAGGTAGTCAGGAGCGACCTTTGGAAGGGGGATGAATCCGCAGTTGGTGCTCGAGGGACTCGCAGCCTCCTTCGCCCGCGGCCATCTTGGACTCACCCTTTCTTCACTCTTCTCTCTTCCTCTGCCACTCTTGCTGGCACTGGTGCACAAAGGACCTTTGGCCAACCTAGGATGCACTCTCCAACCAAAAAGGAAAACGAAAAGTGGCCAGCGTGCGGCGGGACTTCCGCCCAAATCCGAGAACGGCTGCGGATTCTTCTCTCTCGCCTCCATTGTTGCAGACTATAATGGAAGGATGGACGCGGAAGGAGGCCTGTTTTGGGAGAGGCTTTCTTCGGAGTGGATTAGGGTCGATGGGGGAGACTCTGTCATGGTTTCTTGTGGCCAGTGCAGAATGATTCCATAGAGGACAGTCCTGGTGATCTGGTTAAATGGAGCCATGTTTGGGGCTAGAGGGAGCAGGCTTTGTTCCTGTCCCACCCTAAGCACTTGTGTCTGTAGACCCAGCAGGTAGCAGAGTGGCCTTGGCGCGGTGTAGATTCACTGCCCCTTCTCTTTTCGGAGAACAGGGGCAGGTTCCATGTGGAGATGAAAGTGGGAGGGAGGAGGTTGAGGAGCCTTATCAGACAGGATGTGCCTGGAGATTCATCATGGCCCCATGTTTAAGCAAGCGAACCATCCTTTGGGAATTCAGCTCATATAGCTAACCACTAGGTAAAGGTAAAGGTACCCCTGCCCGTACGGGCCAGTCTTGACAGACTCTGGGGTTGTGCGCCCAACTCACTCTAGAGGCCAGGGGCCAGCGCTGTCCGGAGACACTTCCGGGTCACGTGGCCAGCGTGACATCGCTGCTCTGGCTAGCCAGAGCCGCACACGGAAACGCCGTTTACCTTCCCGCTAGAAAGCGGTCCCTATTTATCTACTTGCACCCGGGGGTGCTTTTTTTCCTTAAGAATGGATGCGTTTGATCTTCTTGCAGTCCATGGGACTCTCAAGAGTCTCTCCAGCACCATAATTCAAAAGCATCAATTCTTCGGCGATCAGCCTTCTTTATGGTCCAGCTCTCACTTCCATACATCACTACTGGGAAAACCATGGCTTTAACTATACGGACCTTTGTTGGCAAGGTGACGTCTCTACTTCTCAAGATGCTGTCTAGGCCTGTCATTGCCCTTCTCCCAAGAAGCAGGCGTCTTTTAATTTCGTGGCTGCTGTCACCATCTGCAGCGATCATGGAGCCCAAGAAAGTAAAATCTCTCACTGCCTCCATTTCTTCCCCTTCTATTTGCCAGGAGGTGATGGGACCAGTGGCCATGATCTTCGTTTTTTTGATGTTGAGCTTCAGACCATATTTTGCGCTCTCCTCTTTCACCCTCATTAAAAGGTTCTTTAATTCCTCCTCACTCTCGCCATCAAGGTTGTGTCATCTGCATATCTGAGGTTGTTGATATTTCTTCCGGCAATCTTAATTCCATCTTGAGATTCATCCAGCCCAGCCTTTCGCATGATGTATTCTGCATATAAATTAAATAAGCAGGGAGACAAAATACAGCCTTGTCGTACTCCTTTCCCAATTTTTGAACCAATTAGTTGTTCCATATCCAGTTCTAACTGTAGCTTCTTGTCCCACATAGAGATTTCTCAGGAGACAGATGAGGTGATCAGGCACTCCCATTTCTTTAAGAACTTGCCATAGTTTGCTGTGGTCGACACAGTCAAAGGCTTTTGCATAGTCAATGAAGCAGAAGTAGATGTCTTTCTGGAACTCTCTAGCTTTCTCCATAATCCAGCGCATGTTTGCAATTTGGTCTCTGGTTCCTCTGCCTCTTCTAAATCCAGCTTGCACTTCTGGGAGTTCTCGATCCACATACTGCTTGAGCCTTCCTTGTAGAATCTTAAGCATAACCTTGCTAGCGTGTGAAATGAGTGCAATTGTGCGGTAGTTGGAGCATTCTTTGGCACTGGCCCTTCTTTGGGATTGGGATTGTAGACTGATCTTCTCCAATCTTCTGGCCACTGCTGAGTTTTCCAAATTTGCTGGCATATTGAGTGTAGCACCTTAACAGCATCATCTTTTAAAATTTTAAATAGTTCAGCTGGAATACCCATCACTTCACTGGCCTTGTTATTTGCAGTGCTTTCTAAGGCCCATTTGACTTCACTTTCCAGGATGTCTGGCTCAAGGTCAGCAACTACACTACCTGGGGTGTGACGGGGCATCTACTATAAGAAGCCTTATTTCTCATCTTTTCAGGACACCGCTTTGTACAGAACAGCAGGTGTAATGTGCCAGGAAAATGAGAGGGGGACTTTTATGAAACAGGAGAGAGTGTGCATGCCAGTTTTTTTTTACACTATCCCTGCTTCAAAGCTGTGTAAAAATTGGTTTTCTCTTTGCCGTCGAAGGTCCAGCAAAGCCCTTGTTAGCAGCTTTAGTCGGGCAGCTTGTGGGCAACGTTCCTTTGAGAGCGCGAAGGAATTAAAACAGCTCTCCTTGTCAAAATTATCTCAGTTTTTGTTTAATTAAAAAAACAAAATGAATGTTTATTATGCATTAGAATTATATGTGCAAAATTTGTGGAAAATTAATAATATATATATATTTTTTGGGGGGAATCTCAGAACACGGAGGCCGGGCCTTAAAGCACCTGCTTCCTGATTGGTCCTTGGGCATGCCTGTCTCAGAAAGCCACGCATAATTCTGGGTTGTGAGTGAGTAATAGATAAAATAAAATAATTATGTGTGCAAAAGTTACTGCACAGCAAATTGCATGAGTGATCCCAAAACTAAGCTAGCCAAAGCACATGCTACAGAAACAATAAAAATAACTGGTACGTAACTAATACATAGATTCATATCTATGATTGCGGGTTCATCGGCCAGCATGACCCAAGTTTGTGTTTGTGTGGTGCTGGCGGTGACGCATTCTTCCCCTGAGCCAAATAGGATCAGTCATGCCTGCACCCCTTTCTCATCGGATGAGTAAACCCCAAGGGGAAATGAATGAGGTGCATTTCCTGTGCAGGATAAAAAAAGTGGTTGGTTAGTTTTGTCCTATAGGCCCCATGAAGTTGTGGGCATCTTGACCCTGTGGAGTTGCGTGGTCCCCTTCGCATCCATCTAGAGATGATGAGCATTCGTGTTGTCCGTATTTGTTTTCTAAAGCAAGAGTTGTCAGAGCTCAAGGCTGTCTGGAAGCTCTCTCT